GTTTGGTAAGAACGTAATTTCGGCTTTTTAGTGTCAGATAAAACTCAGTTCTTTCTATACAAAAATGAACTTTAATGAACCAAATATCTTACTATTTGTTCGATGATCTTTTGTCATCTTTCTGGCAAAATTAATGATTCCACGCTCTTAAAACCTTTAGTCTTTATCGGTAAAAACCTCAGCCAAGTGCGATTTGAGGTCACTATTATTACTGAATTTTTTACATTTAAGAAGTTTTGTCACCAATGAACTATGTCATAATCCGATGATCCAAGGTCGGGACTATATGGGGGAGTCGACGTCGTTTCCCACCCAAGCTCCAGTAATTTCGTGCGTGTTGTTAAAGATGAAAGATGGATAAGGCCTCGCAATGCCGTGGTTGGAGCATGATTTCTTTGCGATGTGCCCGCTCTGGTCTTTTCTCTTTGATTGCTTCCTCCAGTTTCGTAAATTGTTGGTATTAAATTTCTGGTTTCTTGGAATCAGCTCAAAATACATAACACCTTTAATCTCGCCAAATTGACAGAATGATCTTTTCTGATGTCATTTAGTTTTGATATGATTTGTGCCGATTCATTATTGCTTGGATCATGGACTCTCTCTATTACTGTTATTATAAACGATCTATTTTTCATCACCAGTGATAATTTATTTCAAAAAGGATGAGCTGCATTTCATTTGAAATGCATATCGCAAATATTGGTTCGTTGTGTTAAGTGGCATTCTTTCAGTTGATGCGGAACCCAAATATCGAGCTTCTTAACGAGTCCAAGATATCTTATGTGATTTTCAATTGTTGCGTGTGATACATTTAACTATTTTGCAAATCTCTTGCACAGTGTTTAATGTTCATTTATATCTTAATTCTTTCATCATCAACTTCAGAAAGTCGGTCAGAACGTTGAACACTTTCAGGTAAAAATTTTCTAGAAAGAATTTTGTTAAACCAAACCTACACATGCGTTTCGTGTTGTGTAGAGAATTGTCTGATCGCGTTATAAAAACTAGGTGAATGATTTTCTGATTTAAGAAAATCTTAATTTTATTTGATTCTGAATTATTTATTTTAATGCTTTAATTTTGGGAAAAAATATGCTTCTGGGAATATTATTTATTTTCCTTTTATTTGCAATTTTTGTCCAAGCTTTGATTCATTGTGAAAAGAAGCAGGGAAAGGAGGCGATTTTGCTAAGTCATGATTTGGCGCGCTTTGTCCTTTAGAATGTTCTAGAAGAAATTTCATTGTGCAATTAACCTTAGGACAGGAAGTACGTGACAGAAGGGTCAGAGGTTGCCACTTAACCTTCGATGTAAGTCATTCAGGTTTTGGCGATCGGAAGGTCCGGTTGTTGGCTAACTGAAGAAAGGCGCGCATGCGCGATCACCCTTATTTCCTCATTCAGGGGTTGAAACGCAAATTTTGCCCAAATTAAGGGGGCGATAATTGAAGCCATTGTGGGAGCCCGCGTTTGTGAAGGAGACGAAGAAAATTCGAGTTTGAATCACTTTTTGCCCGACTTTCGAAGGTGAGGTGAGAGTTAAGCTTCTGGTGATGAATAAAGAAGGATAGTTATCCATCCAGTTGTGCTTCCGGCAAAGAACGGCAGTTATGCTATCCGGCCGCCGACTTGCTATCGGAAAAACCGGGGATGATGAGGACTTTCTCAAGTATCTTAAAAATAAGAAAGTTTCCTCCAGCGGGTATTAAATTCCTAACATTTATTGGCTAAGTTCCACCACGTCAATGTGAGATTCTATCCTCGACAGCCGGCCAGCGAACTTTGAAGATCCTGCTCGGGTGCTTGTTCCAGTGGCAAATTTTTTTCGATGCTGAGCTTGCGGATATGTTGCTGAAAAATGATGGAGGCGGCGTTCTTCTATATTGCGGCCAGTGATCCTGAAAAACGTGAGACTCATTAGACGTCAGAGTTCCTCTTACGGAATGTATTACTCCCAGGACTTAATGAGGACTATTTATCCCTGATTTCTCCTAGAATGCCAGGCCAGCCCGAGACATTTCCGGGTGCGTTTTAAGTTGTCTACATAATAGATAAGTTTTGTTTTGTTATCAATTTTCCTATGAACTTTTGGGAATTGGAACTTTACTTTAAATTGAATCTCTAAATTAATTCTAAAGGAAAAATTTGCCTCCCTTTTCCCCTTCTTAATTTACCGAGACAAACCTTAAAGTCTTAATATGAAATAGGATGTAAAAATATAATTTTGTTTGTGTAATCTTCCTTAGAACAGATGTTGAATTGCAGATAAAATGTTTCCTTTAACCTCTTAGAAATTACTGCACGGATTCATGTTAAATTAAAAGAGTCATATAGTAGATTTGCAAATCATGGATTTAAATGTAACAAAAAAGAAAATGATAAATTGAAGAATTCACCTGTGTCTAAAATAAGAAAATTGAACTGTAACTAAAATAAGAAATTTGAGTCTCTGATTAGGATAAGATTTAATTTTAATTGTTGAAGAATTTGAATAAACTGGTATTTAATCTGGAAACCTATTACTTATGTTTTTTCTTTATATCTTTTATGTGTTTTTCTTATATATATATTGATTTTAGATTTTGTTTATTCGATCCTCTCACGGCGCGGTCCCGGATGCATAATACACAACGCAAAAATTTGTACTTCATTTATACGATCACTAAAAATGTGGAAATTAGCTAACTCTTAATAGTTTAGTTCTCAGTTGATATTTAGTTAGTTACGGTTAAGAGGAAGTAGCAACACAGCATTGGTGCTTGATAGTCACGGCACGGTATAGAAACAGAACATTCGTTAAGCAATCAAAATCATAAACTTCATATCTTTTTGTAAGCCTCAACCACTTTTTTGTCTTTATAAAGATAAAAAAGTAAAGTCTGTATGTCGAAAATCTTTACTTTTGCACCACATGTTAAAATTGATGTAAATTCCTAGTTGTAAATAAAAACGCACTGAATTTGCTTTTATAGCAATCTAAAAGCTTCAACTATCAAATCTCAAAAGAAAAAAACATGGGATTAAAAGAACACTAACGAAACGAACATATCGCTATCTACTTGTGTAAACCGAAATTACTTTCTAACCTACTCTATACTTTTCTTTATTCTCACTTATATACTCACTTTATTTTCACTCACTTTCATAAATTCATTAACAATGATACTGTAAACACCAAAATTAAGTATTAGGGGGAGGAGAGTTTCTTAGTTTTAGAACCATGAAATATTACGACTTTAGTTTAAAAGACTTTTCTAAAAAATAAACATGGATTACATTAATGTGAATAAAATAAACATTATAGTTATCTAGAAGGAAAATAATTCTTTTACTAATGGGTACATAAAATTGTTCCATGATTTTTCTCCAGAGGCTATGTAATTAAATCTGCATCTGAATTAATTTGTGAATATTTCTAATTAATGTGCAACGCCTAAGGCGAATTAATTTGGGAATATTTCTAGTTAATGTGCAACTCCTAAGGCTTAGCATTTATTGAAGTACTTTCCTGACAGTTATTTAATATGCCGAAATAAAAGATATGTTATTTTTATTTTAATGACCATACCGATGTTTTGATTTTAAAAGCTTTTCGATAATTTTGATAGATTTCCCCGCCAAAGCTAAGCGAAACCTAGGAAGTATAGGCAAACAGCATCGTCAAAATTGTTTTGAGTTTATTGACAGTTCAATAACTCACGACCGCGAAACCTCTTAATTAAGTATTTATTTGTTTTGAGCAAACAAATCGTTACTTCAAAAACATATTTTTCACATGAGAGGAAAAGCTAAGATCTGGGATTACGGATTGAAACCGGAGATGACAGCTTGTCAGAATTACCTACTTTCGGGTAGAACTTTCGTAAGATGTTGCATATCGGCAGTATCTAAGAATATAGCATTCTCAAGAGGATAGAATAGAGTGATCAAATTTTTACCAATAACAGAAGTAGATAAGATTGCAATTAAGGCCAGAAAGAAGGGCAGACTTTAGGGACTTCACTATGAGGCTTCTGATAACAGAAAGAGCTTTAAGGCTTTATACACATAACCTAATGAAGTCTCTTCAAAACGACGATAAATCTATAAATAAAAAACTGCCATAAATGGAAAGATGCAAGAGAGTTTTAGCGCATTTGAGTGGTACACCTTGCTTCAAGATACCAAAGCTAGGAATTCGTAAACAAGTATATTTTGCAAACGTAAAGAAACGTTACTCTGATATACTGGGTGGTTTCATTGTTTTGATATACTCCAATACGCAAATACGTTCTATTAAAATCCAATTAAAAAATCTCTTCTTTTTAACTTTCTGCATATTTTTCAGACGTTAGGACTACGGGGTTTTAATACATTGACACTTTTGATAACTCCTTGAATATAATATTCATAAGTTAAACATTCCATGAAAGAGTACTTTCATATATTCATTGAATATTTTCAGCCACTGATAAAAATCGGTTAATTTTGTAACTGAAGTCAATGAATGCGAAACAGAGATCAGTACTTCCTGTTTAAAATTTTCGATCCATAGAAATAACAACTTACTCAGTTTGCATTATATGTAATTAATTGAGTCTTGGATTAATTAATTAATTAATTGATAATTAATTAATTAATTGATTATATGTGATTAATTGAACTTTGCGTTTCATTAAGAGCTGCAGCCAAATGTTCATCTTCATTACATTCTTTTAGATAATTCAAAGAAATTTGTCGTTATAAGGAGCACTAGAAAGAAAGAAAGTTTTTTCCCGTAATTATTATCTGCTGTATCTGCGAATAATATAGTGTTGAAGATCGTACACAGATATTAAAATTTTTACGGGGATATTACTTTGTCTACATATGTACTGAGTATACCCGGATATCTGTTATGGTATGTATTTCCAACAACAAAATGCAATAAAAGACACATATGTCGCTTCAATACTCGAAGAAGGACTGTTGACTAATTTTCTTTGTTCTAATCTAGCACTTTAGTAAATGACAAAGTCTTACCAGATACCCAACTTCCATTGAAGACTCTCGGTACAAAATCTTGGCTAAGAACATCAGCTAAATTGATTCTGTGCCCTCTTTGTCCAAGTCTGGTAGTTTCTGTAGGAAAAGAAGAGAATTCATCACAGCATGCTCATATGTTACAATTGTATTTTTATATTTTTTCATTATTTACTGAAACTAATTAATAAAAGCTATCAAAATTTAAAGCAACAGTTAGATAAATGTTTGAAAATAACAGTGACATGTAAACGATGAACGTAAAAATGCATAAATTTCGTGTTATAAATCCCAAAGGATCATTCATAAAAGATGGTTTTTGCATCCAACTGGGTAGTAAAAATTATTATGAAACAACGTCCTTCTAAGGATCATTTTAAATATTTTCTATGTATTTTAAAAGTATCATACTCTCTTATCAGCTTCCAAAATGATAAGAATTCAATATTCAATGTTTTTATTTTTATTAAAATTAAAAAATATTTACGTTTATTTACCTCTGAAATTCGTTATGGAAGGGAAACCCATTAATGACCGAGTAATAAACTTTGCTGCGTTGTACAAGTATTTACAATCGCTTTAAGAATTTGACAAGCGAGAATTTGTAATAAAATTTTATACAGAGGTTGTTCGCACATTTTTTAGACGATTGTAGTAAGCGGTAATAAAAATCGTTTGCTGAAAAAGAAGTTATTGCAACTGTACTATGTTTTTCGAAGTCAAAATTATCGTCTGTGGCTTGAAAGTTTTGTTTTTATTCAAAATGGCGAATTTAACAAAACAGTGGTTCGAAGGCTACATTTACGCTCTTTCCGAATAGAAATGTGCACACTCCGTTATCCAAAAACGATGTGAGAGTCATGGTTTTATGATACCTAAAGCGTCGATAGGTAATATCATCAACAAGAAAGGAAAGAAAACGTCAAATTCGAGCCTCAAGTGGGACAAAAATTCCAAACAAGTATCCAATGGAAAAACGAACATCTTCGACTTTTACAAAGGTACGTTGTTTAATGTTAAAAGAAAATCCCGCGAGTCAAAGGACAGTTGCAAAATCATTAAAGTGCTGGGTGTCCACTGTAAACAAAATGATAAACGTTGATTTAAATCTTAAGAAAGCGAAAAACCGCAATGTGCATCGTCTTCTTCCAAAGCATATCGTTCAACGCAGGACAAGCTGCAGAATTCTATATGAGAAACACTTATCCAAAGAAAATGGAAAACAATTGTCACAATAGATGAAACATGGATGTATTTAAATGATTGTAACAAAAAAAAAGAGCCATTTATTATCATAGAGAAAACAAATTAAGTACATGTTTCAAAGAATCGAAAGAAAATTTTCTAAGGGATTCATGTTTGTTGCTGGTTTTTCTTTTAATGGCAAGTTAAAAATAAAGAGAGTGCAAAAAATGTACAGATTAACTCCAAATACTATCAGGAACATATTTTATCGCCAACATTTCTGAATGAAATACCATCGCTTTACCCACAGTGCCATCCATCTGTGAGACTCCATCAGGACAAAGCTAGCAGTCACACATCAAAATCCACTGTAAATTTTCTAAAAGAAATGGAACAAAAAACTGGTATCAAGGCCCTACCCTTCACTGACATCCCTACTAAATCTCCCGATGCTGCATTGATATCCCTACCTGCATTGGTATCCCTACCTATGGAGTTTTGTGCTTTCGGACTTTTAAAAACTGCATTATCCAAACGTTGGTCCACAACCCTAACAGGACTCTGGAAAGCTTTTCGGGAGGAATAGGATGGAATACCTCTTCTGCCACTTCAAAAGGCTTTATTATCCTGGAAATTGCGGTGTCGAAAGATAATTCGGAATAAGGGATGTCAAACAGAACATTTAAAACACAAGAATGTTATGTAATTTAGTTTTGTGAATACAATATACTTCGTCTAAAAAATGTGTGAACGGCCTCTGTATTCTGCTCTAAGTGTTACATATATAAGACTGTTTTCTCTCAAAATATATTTTCTAGAAGTATACATATGAAGAAAGCTACGTTTCATGACAAATATGCTCCATTTTCATCTAAGTTTGTTAGATGTAAAATTTAAGACAGCATTAGAATTTTAGTAATAGTTACAAGTTACTTATTTCAGTAAATGAGTAAACAAATACATTTCTTTTCCGTTTTCTTAATTTTACAAGAACGTAAGGGTAAAATTGTTTTGAATAATCAGCAAAACCGAAAATGAAGTTGCCTTACCTGATAGTAGATTTCTTATGTATGTCACAAATTATCTGTTTAATACTAAGTAATAACCACAATTTCATTAAAACGTTACCAGAATTTCTTTCAGTATTTTCCGGTACACAAAAAGTTTCATTATTTTCCGGTGCAGAAGCTAACCTTCGGTGCCACTGTAGAAAAAGACACTCAGGTTGGTGCACTAATAATTAAACTTAATTCACTATACTACTAAGAGTTTCAATTGTAAACAAATAGCTGCAACGTTAGGCCTATTCGCCACTTGAACTTTTAAATCGTTGAAAACTATATGCATGTTAACTAACGGCATAAAACCCTTAACCGTAACATAAGAAGAACATAATTCAATCACTTTTAAAACAAAACATGCGCAATTTACCAATACAAAAGAATAAAACATACAGCTCACCGAAGTGGTGAGCTCTGTTATTTATTATAGCTAGGTAAGACGGCGGGAATATACTGTTGCGTTTTTCTTTTCTGACATCAGTTGTTACGTTATTTTCTTCACGGGTCGTGCAGATTTGAAGTGAATAACCACGATCGAAACACGCTGTATTTAGCCAATATTAATCAGGACAGCTCCAAAGTCACGTCTTACAGTCGTCGAAGATCTATTATAAACACGCTGAACAATCAGCGACACAGCTTTCCCACTGTCAGACAATAACGGTGGAAACAGCTTCACTGCAAAGCACCAGAGTACAGCTCCCGACTCTGCTCGGTCGTTCTCGGAACTCCACGTACTCTTGAGACTCTCCACGCTACAACTCGCGATGCAACCGACGATACACAGAGCACAGCTCCCGACTCTTCTGTTCAGTCGTTCCCGTAGATTAACACACTCTCTCGACGACGCAGTAACCGCGATACACTAAGAGACTCGTCGATGCACTCGACGACCCACTAGGCACTCGCTGGCCAGCTGTTAACTCGATCGTCTCCGCACGGACTAACTAGATGAGACACACTCACTCACTGACTGCGGACCAGCAGGGTTTATATAGCTTTCGGCTTGTGCTGGAGAATATTCTGGGCTAAAACGGTAAGAATTCTTTCCAGAAAGTTCTCCATCCGTCCATGGCATATTGCCAATTTCGTCGCCAAATGTCGCCAAATGCGGCAACCCTGCCTTCCCTTGCTATTTTATACCAACCCTAAACTTGCTTTGCGGGAAAGCTATCTCACCGCGCCTGCATATTTCGTAAATATATATATATATATATATATATATATATATATACGTTTTCTGTGGCCGGGTAACACTGAGCCGGGTAACAGAGTGGATATATATATAATTATATTTATATACGTTTGGTGCGGCCGATTGCAACAAAAAAGAGAGTTGCACAGCTAGATGTTATAGCAGTGACATATACAAAATTTCAAGTTCTACCGCTAATCGTTTTCGAGTTATATAAAATGCATACATATGTACGTACGCACAAACGTCATAAAATATCGCTTATGAATCTATTCTAAATATATATTATAATCCGTTCTGGAAAAACGAGGCCCTTATTCTGTCCGTAAGTACAGATGGGAAGCAAAAAAAAAAAAAAAAAAAAAAAAAATGGTTCAAATGGATTAGAGAAAGGACAAAATTGAAATATGATACAAATTCATTGTAATAAGATACCGCAAATTTTTCGCAATTGCAATACTTTCTTTACTTAATCAATTAATAATACTAATGAAATAGAAATCTGAAAAAGGTAATTATATACATAATAAATGTAGCATATACCCTAAATTTAAGCAGATTCACTATTAATAGTCGAACGTAAGCATGGCACATCTTTTATTAATTAGAGTAATACTGCAAATGTTCCTGCGCTGTTGCAGATATCTTATTATCTCTGCTGTTTGTGAGCGACATATTAACTAGGGTGAGGTTTTCAGTTTAAGTGATTGGTTTATCTAAAATTTTGCTATCGCTTAACTGCCTTTTTCTAAATCAACTAATGCAGCAGTATGTAAATATACCGAATATTTAAGTAAAGGTACTAGATAATAAAGACGCAATGTTACAGCAATTAGTTATAAAGGCTGTCAATTTGATAAACAGGGAAGAGTAACAAAAATTTTACGCAATTTGTATGAATAAAAATATTTTATTTAGGGAGAAGAATGATACATGTATAATCACTTACTAAATGCTTAGAATTTTATTCAAAATTTGGAACATTCGAAAGTTGCTCCTGTAGAAGAAAGATCTAATTAATTGAAGTACTCGTATTAAACATTTTAAAATTCATAATTTAAGTGTAAAATTAATAATTAAGCGAATTACTCCTTAAATTGAGTTAGATTGTAATATGAAGTTTAAAGGAAAGCAACAAGTAATCTTATTTCAAAATAAGACAAAAAAATTTAAAAAGAAAAAAAGAAGGTCTTATCTTCGTCATCAAGAATATTTGAACGAACAAAACAGGAAATTTAATGCCAGCAAATTAAGATTAAAAATCTAGAGTATAAGCGATACATTGAAGAAATTTACCAGATTTCTGATTTAGATTCTGAATCAAATTCTTTTTGCTTTGAGTGTAATAAAACAGTGATCCTCTGTATTAGAAAAGAGAAAAAGAAAATAGAAAGAAAAACTCTAAAAAACTGCTCCTGAAGAAGAATGTAATATTTTTTGTCAACATTTATATTCAAAATTTCTTTTACTTCGGAAGAAAGGGATCTACATCTGATTACTCTCAAAATCGATAGTCATTTATTGAAAATATACGCCACTCTATAAATTTATTAAAATTTTTAATTCAAAATTAGCGTGTTTCTCCTTTAAATAGATTGTACGATTGATGCTTAGTTTTGTAATGGAAGCTTTCAATTGCATTTTTGTTTCAAAAAGTA